TGAGGGTGTCAGCTCGGTCTTGCTGGGGGTGTCGAGTGCAGAGCAGCTGATAGAACATCTGGGTGCCCTACAGGTGAGCTGGGGAATCCGAGGCAGAGCCCCTCTCTGGCCCCGCCCCAGGGGTCAAGGCCTCATTGTCCAACCCAAAGTGAGGCCTCGCTACAAGGCCCTCCCTTTGCAGATGAGAGGGTCCAGGGTGACAAGGCAAAACGGGCGCAGCTGTGACTCTTTCCCTGCCACTTGGCTCTCTGTGCCGCTCCCTTGGGTCCTCCAAGTTCAGGCCCTCAAACTTCAGATCCTTCTTCAGTGACCCAACCACCCCATTCTCCTCCAGGTGCTGAGCCAGCTGACCCCGCAGACGGTTACGGAGATAGACGGGCTCCTGGGGAACAAACCACATTCCAAGAAATAGTCTGTCGGGGGCGCAGAGACCCAAATCTGGCGCCGCGGCACCCCTGCCCACCCAGAACTGTTTCCCCGAAGCCAAACCCCTCCAGCTCCAGATCCCTCCACGCAGCTGCCAGAGCCAAGTGGTCCCGCCCACTAACGAGTTCCGGCTTCGATAATCTACACGCATGAACAAAGCCATATCCTTCCGCAGTGGGGCTTGAGAGGAAAAGTAGTCCGCCGCTCCCTTCTGCGTTCTTCCGGGCCTCTCTGCTAATACCAGGCATGAGCTAGCTACTGGGCAATCCCCTCTGCCATTTGGTCTCCCCTCTTTCTCTCTTACCCCAATAGCCGAGGGGGTAAAAAAAAAGCTAAACGGTAGACACAAGAAACGCAGAGTACCTCAAAAGTGGCCCTTGAAATGTCATCAAGGGGTACTAACCTAACAAGTGAGTTGTGACTGTCATCTGGGACGAAGGAAAATGGGGTTCTTACGATATGCCGTTATGCTGTACAATGGAAGCCAGGCTGGTCCTGGCGGGAACTACATGATAATCTTTGGGAACAAAGGACCCTGCCTCCCAGCCAGGAGGTGAAGAAGGGCTTAAAACTGGAATTAGTGTTAATACGTTGTTTCTGACAAAGGTAGAGAGAAAATCGATGGCAGATGTATAGCTGGGCCAGGGCAGCCCTTGGAAAGCGGTTGGGCTGTGCATCACAAGAAATAATGACAGCCTTTAGGTCCAAGCAGGGATACGGGGCTAACACAAAAGGGTCTGGGGATAGACTTTTGAGCCAGGACTTCTACCTGGCTTTGGAGGACTGCAGGCTTAGTTCTGGCAATAATCTTAAAGCAATAATAATGGCCTCTCTTCTGTAAGACTTTCCAGGGAATTGTAAATAAAATCTTAATCCTTCCTCAATCACTGTCTGAAATTGCAGGGGGTGGGAGGTTAGGGTCTCCGTCTCAGATATCTGGCCTAGCCCCAGCCATTAGAAAGCTCCGGTACTAGCTTTCTCTCCACTGTTCATTTACCCCAGAGACCCCAGCACTGTGCTCCTAGGCACCACTCTCACCAAGGGCCCAGCACCAAAGTACCTGGGCCCCAGTTTCCTTCCTTCCGTTGCCGCATTCCTTAGAACCCAGAGAGATCTGGCTTCGTGGTCTTTTTCCTCCCCCTGACACCACTGCCCTCACACTTCTGGTCTTATACTCCTTAATTTCACTCTTGCCTGATACCCACACATGCTAAGGAACTAGTTTCTTGTGGTTTTCTTGTGGCTGAATGGGAGGGCTGTTCTGAAGTTGAGGCTTTGGGATTTGGTGAAGGAGAGGTAAAATGAAAACTGGTCGATGGTTGAGATGATACAGAGAAAGGGAAAGGAGTTATCGCTATAAAGGAAAAAAAGAAAACGTGTGAGGATGGCAGAAAAGCAGAATTGAACGGGATTATGTCAGATACAGCCCCTTAGTCTTCCCCAAAGGACTCCGATGTCCCTGAGATAGAAAGTGGGTGGGAAGTTACAACCTTTAAAGATCACAAGGCAGGGAAGAATGTGCTCTGCCTTTCTTAAAATACAACGTTGCCATTCCCCGGGGGGCTCAGTTGGTTGGAGCATCCTCCGGTACAGGTTACAGGTTCGAGTCCCAGTCAGGGCACATAACTAGTTGTGTGTATGGTCCCCAGTTGGGGGGCGTGCGGGAGGCAGCCGATCATGTTTCTCTCACATCAATGTTTCTCTCACTCTCCCTGTCACTCTAAAAATCAATGAAAATGTAACCTCGGGTGAGGATTAAAAAACAACCACCACCTCACCATCTCCCTGCTACCCATCCTCACCCCTGATTGTGAAGCTGGGAGAGCAATTTCCAAAAGAGAAAAAGCAGCATATACCACTTTCTGGATTAGCAACCAACTGGATCAACTAATGAATACTTACATACCATAACCATCATCTTCTACTCATTTGGGAAGACTGTGGAGGAAACCAAGAGGAAAAATGTATGACTAAACTATCGTTAGTTTTTCTGTAACAAACATACATGAATTTATAAATTCAAAATAGTCCTCTCTTATATAACCACCTTGGAGGGTTATGCACTTCTTTTAAAAATGTCTCCCCCATTGCTCAGAACATTTTAAAAAGCTCCTTATAATTACCTTCAGAGGCAGTTTAGAAACCCCCTGCAAAAAAACCTTCCTTTATTGTCACACCTCATTCACCACATTTATCACTCACCTCACTCATTAATTTTTTTTAATATATGTTTTTAATGGACTTTAGACAGGAAGGGAGAGGGAGGAAAAAGCATTGGTTACCTCTGGTACACACCCCAGGGACCGAACCACAACCTGGGTATGTGCCCTGACTGGGAATCCAACTGGCGGCCTTTCAGTGCATGGGATGACATTCACCAACTGAGCCACACCAGCCAGGCAACTTCACCCATTAATTTAACAAATATTTACTGAGTCCTACTATGGGATACAATGGTGAACAAAACTAGACTCAGAACAACCTTCATGGAACTTACAAATGGGCGGAACAAACAAACAACACCCATACAGAACCTTCAGTTGTCCAAAGGCCAGAGGAAAGGCTGCACTGAGAGCTGACAGACAAGTAGGTGTTACTAAGGTGAAAGCCAGAAGGTGAGGGGAACAGCATACAAGAAAGCTTTGCAGCAGAAAAGAACATAGGATCCAAAGATCTCCAAAGCCCGAGTGTCTAAGGACAAAGAGGCAACGGAAGCAGAATGTGAGACACGAGTGGGTTCAGAACAAACAGTGACTTAGAGGGCACTCTAGAATATTCTTTGTCTTAAGGACAGTAAGAAACTTTCTAGATCAATTATCTATTGATACACAAATCACCTCCAAAATTTAGTGGCTTGAAACAACTTCTAAACACAATTTTCTTCATCATTTTTTTCATAATTCTGTGAGCTGGTTGTAGATTTCTGGATTTGGATAAAAAAAGTAGGAAACACTGGAAGAGGTGCTGATTTGGACAAGGAGATGATTGGTTTGGGTCCTGGAAGATAAATAAGAAAAGAGGAGCAAGTGACTGGGTACCCAGGTCTGAAGCTTAGAGAGGCTTTAACTGTGAAACATGTTGGGAGCATTTATATAATCAAATCTACCTTAAAAGTTTAAGATTTAATCACCAACTGGGGATATTAAAATATGTGAGATCTCTGAACACCATCCCAAAGAGAATTTCCAAAACAGTTTTGAATTATGACAGCATCATTGAAATAAGTAGGAAGCTTCCCCCAAGTGACCATGAAGACAATACAACTTAGAAGTTCTGAAATGATTGCTTAAAAATAATGGTATACCTCCTCACAAAGATTACCCTCTAAGGTTTTAACAATGTAGTTAAAAAGCAAAACCAACTCTACATTGCCTATTACTGCCAGTAAATGCATTGGTCTAGAGCAGCCGTGGGCAAACTACGGCCCGCGGGCCGGATCCGGCCCGTTTGAAATGAATAAAACTAAAAAAAAAAAAAAGACCGTACCCTTTTATGTAATGATGTTTACTTTGAATTTATATTAGTTCACACAAACACTCCATCCATGCTGTTGTTCCAGCCCTCCGGGCCCATTGTGGCCCTCGAGTCAAAAAGTTTGCCCACCCCTGGTCTAGAGCAGTGGTCGGCAAACCACGGCTCGAAAGCCACATGCGGCTCTTTGGCCCCTTGAGTGTGGCTCTTCTATAAAATATCACGTGCAGGCACACACGTACAGTGCGATTGAAACTTCGTGGCCCATGCGCAGAAGTTGGTTTTGGAAAGGAGATAGACAAAACAAGTATGCAAGACGAGTGTGGATGGGAGAGTTGGAAGGGGTCGACCTCAGCGAACGAACGTACCTCAATCAGATTGAGGACATTTTTAGCAAAGGCCAGCTTAAGAGTACCCTAATTAAGTTAATAACAATGTACCTACCTATATAGTTTAAGTTTAAAAAATTTGGCTCGCAAAAGAAATTTCAATCGTTGTGCTGTTGATATTTGGCTCTGTTGACTAATGAGTTTGCCGACCACTGGTCTAGAGCAGTTATGGCGAACCTTTTGAGCTCGGCGTGTCAGCATTTTGAAAAACCCTAACTTAACTCTGGTGCCGTGTCACATATAGAAATTTTTGGATATTTGCAACCATAGTAAAACAAAGACTTATATTTTTGATATTTATTGTATATATTTAAATGCCATTTAACAAAGAAAAATCAACCAAAAAAATGAGTTCATAGGTTTGCCATCACTGGTCTAGAGAAACCCACCTGGTATTGACCCAGAGAGATGGGGGTTGAAAATGTTGGGTAGTGAGAAGTTAAAATGAATACCATCTAGGCTGGGGCCACAGGATAATAATTATAGCTAATATGTGGCTTTTACTCTGTGCTAGGCCCCGTTCTAAGCCCTTTGCCTATGTAAGCTCATTTAATCCTATTATTATCCACATTTTATAGATGAGGAAACCAAGGCCCAGAGAAGTGAAGTAACTTTGCTCAACGTGTCACAACTCGTAAGTAGTGGCGGCTGGGATATAGGTAGGCTGGCTCGATGTTACCCTCCACACCAGAACCTGGGTGGCAGGTCCAGGAGAGGAGGCAGCTGGGGATGGGTGTGGCGCCATGAGGGAATGTGGGCTGTGAGTACCACGTCCTGTTTACCTGTGAGGGAAGTCAGACCCCTGAGTCAGAACTCACGCTGGGCTGCTTTGCTGGAGCCATCATGGTGTGTGGGTGTCCGGGCCTGACTCCTCGGGAACGAAAGGATTCCCAGCATTCCCAAGGCCATGGTCCTGAAATCCAAGTCGCTCCAAAGACTGAGATGTCAACTGGTAGTTGAGCAGTTGGAGAAGAAAGAAAATTGGGGAGCCAGCCTTACCAGAGCACGGTGAGTGTGTGTGTGTGTGTGTGTGTGTGTGTGTGTGTGTGTGTGTGTGTGTGTGTGATGTAGACCCAGGCGAGCTGCGGGCAGGAGAGTTTCTGCCAGGCAGCATCCGTTCAAACACCCCGGAGCCCACTAAGATGGGGCAGGACGGGCACTGCCCCTGGCGGAGGAAGCCTGTGTGGATGGGGCTGTGCAGATGTGACCAGCTGAGCGAACAGGTGCCAGGGGCTGTAGAGACCCGTGCCCGTGGCCGGGTGGGGCTCAGGAAGAGGACTGGGGACTTGCACGGACACAGCAGGATCGAGGTGCACAGGCTTTGTGCGGGGGGCGGGGGGTGGTGCAGGAAGGCGTGGAGGGAGTAGAGGGCTGTGTACCTCTTATCTCCTCAGCTCCCCAGTCCTGGCATCACTCTGGCCTCCTGCCCCATCCCCCGACCAGCTCTGCCAGCGTCCACATTCCCGGCCGCCGGCCTCCACCGCCCCCGCACGTGCCGCCGCAGGGAGCGGCCTGACCACTGCGTGACGCCTCGAGGGGCGGGGTCTCATTTTTAAAAGGGGCCAGAGGCGGCGGCGCCCGCCCCAAGACCCGACCCGGGTCACAGGGAGGGCTAGTGCGTGCTGCCCACGGCGTCGGCCGCGTTAGCGACACCCTCGAGTCCGCGGCGGGCACCATGCAGCTCCTGGTGAAGGTGCCGTCTCTGCCGGAGCGGGGCGAGCTGGACTGCGACATCTGCTACCGGCCCTTCAACCTGGGGGCCCGCGCGCCGCGCCGCCTGCCCGGAACGGCGCGCGCCCGCTGCGGCCACTCGCTCTGCACCGCCTGCCTGCGCGAGCTGGCGGCGCGCGGCGACCGCAGCGGAGGGGCCGCGCGCGTGGTGCGCTTCCGCCGCGTCGTCACGTGCCCCTTCTGCCGCGCGCCCACCCCGCTCCCGCGCGGCGGGGTCACGGAGATCCCTGTCCACCCGGACTTGTGGTCGCGGTTGGAGGAGAAGGCGCGGGCTGAACGTGAACCCGATGAGGCTGGTAGCCCGGGCAGGGAAGGTGGCGACGCCGACCGAGAGGCCGACGAGGAGGAAGAGAGCGACAAGGGGTCGGGGCCGAGGAGCGCGGGGTGGCGCGCGTTCCGACGGCTCTGGGACAGGTTGCTGTCGCCCGCGCGCCGCTGGCGGCGCCCGCTGCCTAGCAACGGTGAGGTGGCCACCCGGGGAGGCTACGGAGACGGGGGTTGGGGGAGAGGATGCCCAGGGTTAGACTGCATCTTCTCGCTGCCACTAACCCTCCTTCTTTCCCCCAGTTCTGTACTGTCCGGAGATCAAGGACTTGGCCCACATGACTCGCTGCACGCTGTAGCCCCGGGGCCCGGAAGCTGAAGCCGGAGGGAGGTGGGAGCTGCGTTCCCGGGGCGTGCTGTCGTACCAGGGGTTGATGCCCAGGCTACCCCTCTCCCATCCCAGGACTGGCACGGACGAGGAAGTGCAGCCGAGGGCAGGAGGGAACGCCCTGGGAGGTGTTGCTGCTGAGCTGGGGAGGCTCCTAGACGAATCGCCCCCATCTGCTGACTGTGCCAGCCGTACATATTTAGGATAGAGTGGCCCAGGGATGATGATAAAAACAAAGTCCATGTACCCGTGGGAAGAAGACAGATTGTTTCCTTAGCTGTGACTTGGCTTTTGTCCAGGGCAACTCTGGTTGTGTGGGAGCAACAAGTCCCATTTTAGCAATTTTGTGTCAATGGTTTGAAAATTTCAAAAAAAAAAATGGAACAGGAGAGAAAGAGGCTGATTTTCATGTCATGTTAATCTCACTTCTCTACCACTAAGAGACTTGAGAAAAACAAGCCGTTTGGTTTGGCCCCCACCCCCACCCCAGTGCTGACATGCCCACTGTCTCCCCACTCCCAGTACTGTATTCCTAAAATTATCCAGATGCCTCTGGCCTGCCTCGTTTCAGAATCCCCCTCCAACCTGTTAGGGCAGGTATCAGAAGGTCCAAAGAACATTCATCTGAGGCACTTAATTAGGGCCTATCAAGGATAGAAAAGAGGCATTTGGTAAAGGCATCAGGTTTTAAATCCCATCAGTATCTTATAGTCCAGTCAATGGGGGCTTGTTGGAAGTGTCAGGATTCCACTTCACTTGCTGAATCAGAACCTGCATTTTAATTATCAGCCCAGGTCCTAGATGCTCTAGGATGTTACCATCTATGGGCGAAATATTTAGAACACAAATGGTATTTAACAAACTATACACTATTTCATTGAAGGTTCTAAAGTGACATTCTGTTGAAGAAATCTAAATTCATGTGCATAGTTGGATTTTCCTGAGTTAAAAATGTGAATTTAAACCATATTTTGGTTTTTCCTGTCCTTAAGTCTCAGCTTAAATGTTCCCTCTTTTGGGAAGCCTTTTTCAGCATTCAACCTGGTGTTGCCCCTTCCCTCACTTTCTATAGCATAATGCCTTGTTTTATGTTCTTTGCTTTAATTTTCAGATAGTATGTGTTTTGTTGGTATCCCTACTAAAGTGTAAGCTTCATGAGAGTAATGACTGACTTGTGACTATTTTATCTCCAGTGCCAACAACAGTGTTAATATATAGTATGTACTCAATAAATGTTTGTTGAATCTTATCTTTTATTTTTTAACATTCAAAAACGGTCTGACCTCTCTTAGCTATGTTTGTTGAATTTTATCTTTCCTTTTTAACTTTCAAAAGCGAAGTGTCTGACCTCTCTCAGCTTCTGAGCAGCCCTGGTAGTGAACGATACATGTCAGAGAAGTATCTAGCAGTTAAAATACTTAGCAAGCTATGGAGGTCTGACCCCCCATGCCCCAACTCTTAAAAAAAAAAAAAAAGGACGCACTTCACACTTGGAACTGAACCCGTGGAGCTTTGGTGACCTCTACTGACTCTTGTGGGAACTAAGCATGGAAAGGATGGAGGTGGAAAGGATGATCAAAAGGATGAATAGAAGGCAGTTCTGAATCGCAGCAGGCAACCCCTCACACACTTCGGTCCAGAATCCCTGCTATCTCTGATTTCAACCTGAGGCCCGTATAGGTATCCTGCTGCTCACCCTCCATCTCTAAACTGAGCTCATCACATTAGGATTGGGGTTGGAAAAAGCCTTGGAGTTTTAATTGATGATCCAAGAAATGAAAAAGGTAGTCACAAGGTTTTTAAAAAGAGAAAAAGAGAGATAATATGAAACAGCAAAATCCTTTCTTTCCTTATCCCTCCCCCCAGTCAAAGAACTCCCACTCAAAAATAACAGAGCACACAGAAAGGAAAGTATAATTTATATGTACAACCAATAAACCTGATACAGAAGAGGGGATTGGGACAGACCAGGAGTGAGTGTGAAGAGAGACTGGGGAATGGCCAGCAAGAAAGTGAAGGGGCAGCGAAGAGGAAGTGGAGGGTTCGCCATGCAAACTGCCACTCTCCTCAGCCCCTCCTGGGGAAGAGGGTGTGCGTGCCCGTGTCTCCCTAGCCTGCTCTCCATTATTTTTCTCTGGTCCTCAAAGCAAGTAGCCTCCTGACTAGGCCCCCTGCCTCACACACTCAGATTTAGTCCGTATTCAGGCCTTCAGGAGAAAGGGGAGAAGTCCTCAAAGAACCTGAGCCCCAGAGCTGGGGGTTCCCCCAGCATCTGGCCCATTGTGTTCTCTCCCGCCCTTTCTAGGTCACCTGGGTCCCTAGGTCAGATTGGGGAGCGCCTCTTTGGCTTGAGGGGGTGTCGCCCAACCATTACTCTCTTTGTAGGGGTGGTTCTTGGCCCCTGTGGAGGGGGTAAGATGCCCAACACAAGATGCCAGTACACAGGAGGTAACTGAGCCAGTGAATGGCGCCTTTATTCTGAGGCGGAACAGCAATTGACTCCCTTTAACTGCTCCACACTCTATTTCAGGAGAGGTAAGGGAAGGAAACATGCAGCCACCCCTCCTCTTCCCTTTCTCTCTGCCAGGGCTCATGGTCATCCTTATCTAAAGTTCCCTTCCTCTCTTCAAAGCTCCTTTCCTCCACCGGAAGTTTCTAAAGGCCAGGCAGTGCTAATCCCCCACCTCTGCACAAGATGGAGCTCATCCTGCAGGAATAAAGGCTCCACCTCTTACCTCCCACAACCATTTATTGGGAAGCTGTGTATGTTTGGCAGTGGAGGATAAAGGTTCTTGGAAGACCCTGCTAACCAATTCCCACCCAGACCTCTTCTCACCAGCACAGTCTTCAAAGCATGGTGGGAAAGATGTGTGGGAGTGGAGAGAGACAAAGGGCCCTTCTTGAAAAGAGGAGTCAGAGAGAGGGGCAAAGGGGCTCCTAGCCCAGCGGTGGCCCAGCGGGTGGGGAAGGCGGAGGATTGGCAGCAGACCCCAGAGTCTGAGCTGGGGGTCGGCCTCGGGCACGGGGCCTGGGTGAAGGGCAGGCCTGGGATCCAGTCAGTCGTCTATACAGATCACCTCCCCGGCTCGGGGCTCCTTCCGATCCAGCCCGTCTGACACTAATGCCCCCACCATTTCCTTCTCCTTCTTCACCAGCACTGGAGGGCCGTTGGTGGCGGCTGTTAGGAAAGGGGATAAGGAAGTCAAATCCCTACTTCACTCCCAAACATCACTTTCTGACAATAGTATATTCTCGTTCTCTCTCTCTTTTTTGTAAATGATTTCAGAGAGAGGAACGGAGAGGGAGAGAGGGTTAGAAAATCACCAAGGAGCCTTGCCAGCATGGCTCAGTGGTTGAGCATCAACCTCTGAACCAGGAAGTCATGGTTTGATTCTCGGGGGGCATATGCCCAGGTTGGGGTCCGATCCTCAGTGTGGGGCGTGCAGGAGGCAGCCAATTGATGATTCTCTCATTACTGATATTTCTGGCTCTCCCTCTCCCTTCCTCTCTGAAATCAATAAAGATATATTAAAAAAAAAACACAAAAACAAAAAATATCAATAATGAGAGAGAATCATTGATCAGCTACCTCCTGCTCGCCCCAACTGGGGATCAAGCATGACCTCCTGGTTCATGGGTTGACACTCAACGACTGAGCCACAATGGCCAGGCAGTACATTCTCATTTCTAAGTCACCTCATGCCACTTGCAATTGTCCAGGGTAGGGGTGGTAAGACCAGAGCAAACACCTCTCCCTGAGGTCCCCCCTTGTGCCGCATGATGGAACACATGCTCCAACTCTCACTATACCCCCTTCTCATTCACTTTCTCTTTCTCTGAAGTAGCCCAGATGGAGGAGGCTCAGGTAAGAGATAGCAAGCTGCTGAACCACTGAAACCCTGGATGAGGTTTTTTGAGCAAGGAAGTGGAAGAGAAGCTAAGAAAGGGGTGGGAAGAATAAACCCCAGAACAACTCCATTCCATAAAACACTGGGTACTTCCAAGGAAATGAGATGGGCTGGAGCAGTAAAGGATAGCCGAGCAGGGAAAAGCGTGGAAAAGGAGAAATGAGAGGGAGTCAGCTGACCTGTGATGAAGGACCCTGCAGGCATCTGGCTGTAATTGGCGCCTCCGGCGGCCAGAGCCCCTACGGGAGCGGTGCTGAAGGCCGCCCCGTACCCCGGAGGTGTAGCGTAGGGACCCGGGGGAAAGACCTGCAATAGAGAGGGAACCCAAGTTAGAGAGTCCACAGTCTGAAAGGAAATAAGCTGAAGGGAAAACTTTAAGGACAAATTCTAGAACTACTGAGGGGTATAACATACAGGAGACTCGAGGGTGATGAGAATACTAGAGTAAGTCGTTTTCCATATTGTATAGGATTCAATGTAAGTATGTATACCAACAGGGAGAAGGGAATTAGAGGGAAAGGAGGTTACCGGTGTGGGGTGAGGCTCCGTGCCCTTGCTGGCCAGCCGGCTGAGGATGCTGCGCTCGGACATCTGAAGGCGGGCTGCGATGGGGGGTATTCGAGACAGCGTGGCCGGCAGGCGGGTCACGTCTGCCTTCATGTCGCTCAGCAACTCCTCCAGCTGGTTCAGAACTGGGGCCCGGGCCACGGAGAAAGAAGGGCAAGAGAGAGACAGGGAAAGGGAGAGATGGAGCCAGGAAAAGAGATGAAGAGGCAGATGGACAGATAAAGTCAGAAAAAGAGAGCGAGAGGACACAGATGTCAAAGAACCAGAGAAGAAGAAAAGGATAGAAGTACACAGAAAAAGAGCGACTCAGTGAGTGGGTAAGTGTCAGGTAAAGAGGCAGAGAGACCAGATCATCACAGAGATAGATGGAGAGAGAAGCAGGAAAAGAGAATATGGAGAAGAGGAGGATAGGGGAGGACATTGGAAGACATAGGGGCGGGGAGTTGTCAGAACATCCCATACTGTAAGAAGGAAGTTTTGGGGTTGGGGATGATAGGGAGGAAATAGGAGGCGTGGGGAGGTGGTAAGTGGTGTCAAAGATTTAAGGATCAAGGTTTTAATATGTTAGGGGGGAGGGAGGTTTGAGGGTCAGCATTAGGAATTAAAACAGGAATCAAAGGGTCCAGGAGTCAATGACTACATCAGATAGAATTAGATGGTTAAAGGGCTTTGGAATTTGATATTTTATTTTCAAGGTAAGAAGGTTTGGGAGGAAGGGTTGAAGGTCAAAGGGAAGTTTCATGGGGTAAGGTCAGAGGGTGGGATGGTGGTAGTTTCCGCCTCGTGGGGTGAATGAGATCTGAGGAATGTGATTTGTGGGACTGGGGATAAGGATTTTTGTGGCTCTACACAGGCCAAGGCCCCAGAGAGGGTGCTATGGGCAGTATGGCAAGCATGTGGGTCAGTGAAGATCTACCCTTTGGAGGGGATGGGGCACAGTCTCATGGAGTTCTGGGGAGAAAGTCCCTCTCTTAAGCACTGATGTGAATGCTATTAGGCAAGGATGAGAGTTGGCTGCACAAACTCTAGTGGCTAAAAGCCAGGTGGGTTTAGGGGTGGGTTTAGAGGTCAGAGGGGGTTGGTTCAGAGGGTAAAGGGGTCAGAGGGGTGGGAAGATTTTGAGGGGTGCGGGGTGAAGACTTACGCAGCGTTGTGGGCCCTCCCCCCGCGCGGGGGCCGCCGCGGCCCTTACCCTTGTGCAGTACGGCGTTGGCCGGCTTGTTCCCCGCCAGCGACTCCTTGGAGAGGTGCTGGTGGCTCTCAGCCAGGCACTCGGCCTCGGCGAAGCGGGCGTGGAGGGCCATGGCGGGGTGCGCCGGCTCCTGTGATAGGTTCAGGTAGGCCGCCCGCCGAAGCTGCTCCTCAATCACCAGCGCCTGCTCCAGGAGCTGGGGGCGGGGGGAGAGGGAGTTAGTGCAGGGTCTGCCAGCAGCGGGTGAGCGGACAGCGAGCCAGACTGGAGACCACACTGCTCTCACTGCTGGCCCAGGGCATCCCCACTCCACACCAATACCGACCCCAGCACCAACCCCGATCCAGACCACAGCCACAAACACAAGCTTACACTCCAGTCTTGGCCTCAAGCATCACCACCACCCTCAAGGTGTTAACCTTCCCTACAGTCCAACCAGATCGGGCCCACCTCTCACCCAACACTGTTCCTTTTGTTCCTCATGCCCACCTTGAATCTCCGGGCCAGAAACTTATTTTTCATCTCCAGAAAGTTCCCCTTATTGGCTTCAGTTTTAAATGGCTCATTGATAATGGCAAACTGAGTATCATTCTGGATGTCCTGCCACCGTGCATAGCCATGGCTGCCAATGAAGGAAGAGGACCATCAAGGAATTTAACCGGGAGGGACTGGGCACTATGCCCCCCTCTCTGGGTGTGGACTCCTCTTCCCTGTAACTCCCCTCTCTCTAGGCTGTAGGAACCTTTTTTATCTTGTATTTGTATCAAAGGATACAGAACAATCCCAGCCAGAAGCCAATAGTCATGTCTTCGGTGCCAGATTTCATTGAGTTTCCCCGAGGAAATAGCTGCCCGTTCCTCATTCTGCCACAGTGTGTGAAGCTCTGAAAAGAGGATGGAAGACAGATGAGGCATCAGGAATTTTCAAACCACATCCAATCCCACAAACAGGTAGAGATGAGGGACCTGAATAGTGGTGGAGGACACTAGGGCTCCTTATGAGGGACAGGTCAAGGTTAGAGCAGGGTTAGAATAAAAGTAGTTACAAACAAGGTTCGAGTCAGAATTAAGAATAAAGGTAGAGCCCAGCCGGCATGGCTCAGTAGTCGAGCGTCAACCTATGAACCAGGAGGTCAGGGTTTGATTCCTGGTCAGGGCACATGGCCAGTGTGGGGCATGTAGGAGGCAGCCGATCAGCGATTCTCTCTCATCATTGATGTTTCTCTCTCTCCCTCTCCCTTTCTCGCTGAAATCAATAAAAAAATATAGAAATAAATAAATAAATAAATAAAGGTAGAATTAAAGACAACTTTAGAGTTAAGAGTACAGACAGTCCTTGGGTTACATTGGACTAGACTTAGGTTGTTTCGTGGTTACGTCGCCATCTCCCATTTACTTATATAAAAAAAAAAGATTCTGTAATTTCAACGTACATATGTGCTTTATGTTTTTTATTATTTATTTACCACAAGTAAAGGTCAGGAATTGTTATCTTTGTTTTAATTTTTTTTTACTATTTCACTTCATTACTGCTGTGTATGTGCTCCATGTGAGTGACGTACGTGCTTATGTAGGTGGGTTCCGACTTACAGCGAAAATCGTGTTACATCGCGTCGTAGGAACGGATCTCGGATGTAACCTGAGGACCTACTGTGTACTTAAGAAGGACTGAGGGCAAGGAGTAGAGACAGTATGTATCATTTCATTGGCAATTACTTGGAACTAAGGCCTCAGGCAGAAAGAGAAACCCCATGAGGATGAGCAAATCCCAGTGAAAAATAGGTGTTAGGAAGAGACACCCACCCACCTGTAAAGCCACCGTCTGCAATGTTGAACATGAACCGTGGCTTCTCTGCCTTCTCTTCACGTCGCCCAGTGGATCGTGGCTCGTCTCGAGGCCCAGATCGAAGCTCCCGGCCGCCTTTAGCATCTTCTGCTGGGCAGATGGGACAGAGCTCACACCTGAGGAGTGTCCTTCCAGACCCCACAACTACTCCCTGTGCTCTGCTGGAACTTGGAGCAGCAACCCACCCAGGTGCCAGGCATTTGGTCCCCCAGACTCCACCTCCCCTGATTCCCTCAGGTTCCCACGTGTCCAGTCCTTCCACCCATTACCTCTCTTGCCCAAATCCCCTGTTTCCCCCTCTGGCCTCTCCCTGTGTTCCTGTCCATCCAACGGCTTCTCCTCCCCCCTCTCTCCTGGCGTCGACTCTGTGGCTGTGGGAGGGGGTAAGGGACAGGAAGGGAGAATGTCACCCTCATTCCCTGAACCCAGAAGAGGGAACCCCCAAATTCTAAGCCCATCACCCCTAAGTCCATGCACCCACCTGACTTCTCTCTGTCCCCCCGGTACCCAGGTTCAGGCTCCATCTCTCCAGCTACCCCTGGCTCCTCATCCTCTAGAGGAATCTTCCTTGACTCCAGCCGTTCCCCGAGCGATAGGGCTGGGCTGGGGGCATCCGCCTGGAAGACAATGAATCTGGATGAACTAGAGGGTTCCCAGACACCTGACCTTCAAGACCGCCCTTCCTTCTCCTTAGAGGAGCCAGGTAGCCACACACCTCTGTCTCCATCTTCTCCCCAATTTTGCTATTCTTCTCTGGCTTCTCCTCCTGGTTTTCAGCTTCATCCTTCTCAAGTGGTGTCCTTATGCCATCTCCCTTCTCACTTGGAGCTGGAGTAGCTACAGGGGGAAGGCAGAGTGAGAAGGCAGAAACTCCCCACCGTGACTCCAATCCCTCTGTGTCTGGCCCCATCCGATACTGGCCTCATCTCCATCTCTCCAACTATGCTGCCCCATTACCAGGTTTAGAGGTGCAGGGACTGTTGGCAGCAGAAGCCTCGGGGGTGGTGGGAGACGTTTTGGTAGGAGAGGAGGCTCTGGAGGAGCGCTTGGAGTCAGCACTGGGGTCAGGCATCAGCTCAGGCATCGACCAGCGCCCATTGATGTGCTCAAACTCTTGTACCTGAGGGGAGAGGGAGCGTCACAGACACAGGATCTGCTTCAGGCAACGGACACCAAGGAGCCCCAGTCCCCCCATCTCATCTTGAACCAGCCTGAGTCTGGAACTCAGGGACGCAAGACAGAGGAAGGACAGGGGCCAGGCAGCCAGCTTGGCCCTTTTGGTGAGGGGAAGACTGTACCTTATTTTTTAAAATAATTCTTTATTGTTGAAAGTATTACATATGTCCCTCTCTCCCCCCATTGACCCCCTCCAACCTGCCCCAGACCCAGGCCCTAACCGCCCCACTGTCTGTGTGCATGGGCCATGTGATACCTTCTTCTTGACGAGAGACATGACTCCAATGCGGGTCAATACTTGCTGGCGACTCAGGCCCTCCCGAGGGACCCCGTCAGCAAATGTTTCAGAGCCGTCTGCCCCGGGCTCACAGAGATGGCGCATGAACAAAGACACGTAGGCCCTAAGAACCATGGGGATTGAAGGTGGGTTAGAAGAGCCTTAAGAAGGACAGGGGTTACAGAACCCCTGAACCCTAAGTTCCTGAGGTGCCTCCAGGGGTCCTCCTGAGCCTCTCCAAATCCTAAACCCCCATCTGCCCCTCCCCTTGTTCTTCCACTGTCCCCTTGGCTTTGGTACTTCATTCCTAGGCCCCATCAGTCAGCTCCTCATCCTTTCCACCAGCTCCCCTGCCCGGTTAATGGCCAAATAAATGTGAGGCAAGGACAGTCTAGGTGAGGCTCCTCTCGTAACCACCTCTCCCATGGGGAGGAAGCCCGGCCTCTCTACTCTCAGCTCGTCTGAGGGGAGGTGGGTCAGACTAAGCCCACCTCCCAGGAAACCGAGCTAGGACTGTTGTACGGCAGGGAGCGTGATGGTCAGCTGAGTAAGATCACATCATATGGGGGCCAAGAGGAAGAAGGTCACACCCAAAGCTCTTACTCTTTCATCCAACTCTGTCCCGTATCACCCACACTCACTTGAACTCTTTCTCAGTCTTGCCCCTTAGGTCTCGCACCAGCCACTGAGTGGTGAAGGCATCCTGCGGTGGCATCCCCCAGCGCATCACGGCATTGAGGAACGCCTTCCGCTGACGGGTGTTGAAGCCCAACACCTAGGGAGAGGAGGAAGTGGGTGATGATGTCCAGGCTTCTCATTTCTTGGTCCCTTCTCCCTCAGTGACTCAATTTCCAACCCCAGCTTTCATTCTCTCCGTAGGGAACTCTGGGGCGCCTGGGCCCAGCTCTCACCTCAATGTTGCCCCCAACGCGAGCCAGCAGTGGAGGCAGTGGCTTATCTTTTTCATTCCGGAGCTGCCTCTTTGACTGTCGACGCCCTGGACAGGGATGACCCCAGCAAGTAGATCCATTACTTCTTCCACCCCCCAGTCCTGCCAACACCCCATTCCCACAAGATAAAGAACTCGGGGAGGCCTGTGACATGTCTGAGGCACTTCTAATTGTCTTCCAAGCACTTTCAGAACTACTAACTCAGTAGGTGTAAAAGAATCAAGTCATATTGAAAATTTACTATTAAATATTTGATGCAAGCAAGATTACTGATGGGACTGTAAAATGATGTAACCTTTCATTTAGGCATCTAAGCCTGTGTGGTTATATACTCCAAATTTTAACAGTGGTGAGGTTAGGGATATTTCTTTCTTTCTGCTCATCTGTAATCTTTACTTTATCTTTAAAAAAAAGGCATTTATTTATATAAAAACTGGGCTTAGCGGACAATAGGAAGTGAAATGAGAAGAGATGTGGTAGAAAGTCAGGAAAGTAGATGCCACCTTCAGGACGCTCATCAAAGTCTTCATCCTCCTCCTCTGATCCCACTGAGTATTCTGACTGGTTATCTGCAAGGGGAAAGGACTCAGTGGTCAGGGATGGCTCCCTGGACAAGCCCTTTCCTCCTGGATGCCTCCTGGGGATGCTGGACGACGGTCCGCAGTCTGACTTCAAAGCCATATATCCTGAACCATGTCCACTTACCACACACCTTGTCTCTGATCCCTCCTGAATCCTGTGTAACCCACTTTAAACAAGGACTCCTGGGTGTCCATAGGAACCCCCCACAAACACCAAATAGTTTAGATCGCTTGCAAATCTACCTGGCCTCTGGGTAGCTCCTGATCCTTCCTAATCTCTTTCCCCTTTAAGAAAGAAGGCCCAACTTCTAGGCCTCTCTCTTTCCTACTGAATGTCCCCAGCCTCGGGCCCTTCCTCAGCACTATTTGCTTCTCAGGTCCTGCACTGGGGGGTGGGGGTGGGGGTGGGGGGAGGGCAGTCCTCACCTTGGTCCTCTTGAGCAGCATCATTGTAGTTAACTTGCTTGCGAACCCGCTTGCCTTTGCCGAGATTCCGGGCGAGGTCTTCCTGCTGTTGCTCATAGTGATGCCTCAGCAGCTTTTCCCAGTAGTCAGGATCCACATTCTCCTCCTGCTTGATGATCTCCCGTTCGATCTCCTCAATCTGAACAGCAGCAGAATGAATGCTGGTGGCTTCCTGCTTCACCCAGTCCTTTCCCCTCCTGCCTCCTAGATCTCAACTCTGCATAAATTTTCTGGACATTGCACATTCCCTTTTCCTTATCTCTTACCTTCAATACGCTTCTCCTTGTTATTTCCCTTTCAAAACCTCTCCTCTAGTGCCCTCTGCGTCCCTCCTGCTCTGACTCAGAAAGTGCAGTGCTTTCTGTGCCTACGTCTTTCTCCACAGTCCAATTTGACCCTTTAGACCAAGAAGTTGTTTGTGGTTCACTACTGCTCTTTGCTGGGCACTAAGATAAAAGATCAGATAAAAAACAAGAGGAAAGGGATCCTCCTACTTTGAGGTCCAGTAAAGGAAACCGCCCTTCAGAGTTGGCCTGGGACAGACAGTACCGACCTCGCCCCAGCTGCTCACCTTGTCTTCCTCCCGCACCACATACTGGGCCACCTTGAAGGAACTGAGATATTCGTTCATATTCTGCACATCAGTGTCTTCGGTTGCATCCTGGTTTCGGTCCAACAGCCGAGCGATGGCCTCATTGTCATAGTGAATCACACTGCTATCCTCCTCCTTGTTCTCCCCTGGTGGAGATGGGGAACAAGAGGGAACTCCTGAGTTCCAACCAAAATCTCGGGCAGAACTTTACAAAGATCAAAGGAAAGCATTCCACTTTGCTTCCCTTCCACAGGAGCTCTGGAGAAGGCCCTTCCCTGGAAGTCAATGTAGTGATTTGTTGTTTTCAACCCTACATGAAAGGACAGGGCCAACTTTCTCCACAGACTGAACAGAACAGTTTTTCTTCAAGGGTTTCAGAAGAGAAGTGCTCACGGGAGAGCAGGGGCCAGTTTGAAGAAGTTGCAAAAGAAGTTCTCACCCTCGTTTTCATCCTTGAATAGTTCTTCGGTGCCGAATTTGAGGATGTCATCCAGCTCCTGCTTGGACATGGAGCCCGCCTTGGAGCCCAGCCCAGGACGCACTACCAGATGTGTCAGCATCATCTTTCTCTTGGCCACTTGTGTGATTCGCTCTTCCACTGATGCACGCGTCACAAACCGGTAAATCATTACTTTGTTGGCCTGGCCGATTCGATGAGCGCGGCTAAAGGCCTGCGGGAGTGGGAGAAAGTGAGGACGGGCCAGGGGAGTGGCAGAGGAAATGCCATCAACATGCTCAGGAAAGGAGGCCGGCAAGGAAGTCTTCTATCTGTCCCCCCAGAGGTTTATTTGTGTGTTTTTTTGTTGTTAATCAATTCCATTGATTTTTAGGGAGAGTAAGAGAGGGAAGGACACAGAGAAAAATCAATGTGAGAGAAACACATCGATTTGTTGCCTCCTGCATGAGCCCAACTAGGGCCTGGGCCGGGGAGGAGCCTGCAACCAAGGTACGTGACCTTGACTGGAATCGAACCCAGGACCCTTTGTCTGCAGGCCGACGTTCTATCCACTGAGCAAAACTGGCTAGGGGCCCCCAGAGGTTTATTTCTGACCCCAGAACATGACACCCTCCTCCATGAACCAATGCCTCCTTGCCAAATGGTGCAGAAGCTCTAGGAGGCGAGTTCTCACCTGGATGTCATTATGAGGGTTCCAGTCAGAATCGAAGATGATGACAGTGTCTGCAGTGGCCAGATTGATGCCCAAGCCCCCAGCTCGGGTGGACAGGAGGAAGCAGAATTGTTGGGCCCCAGGAGCTAGGAGGCATGAATCGGGAGACAAGGCTTTTCTTGTAGCCAGCAATTCAGTCTACCTGTTCCTAGATATTCCCTGACTACAAACAACCATGTCCCCAACTCAAAAGCCCACGTGGCTTATATACTCCCAGAAGAGGCCCCTCCCAGCCCAGGGACCTATGCACTGGCTTCTCAGGCCTCCCACGCAGTGGGACCAAGGCATCTCCCCGCTTACCATTGAATCTATCAATGGCCTCCTGCCTCAGGGCACCAGTGATGCCACCATCGATGCGCTCATACTTGTAGCCTTCGTAGTCTAAGAAATCCTCTAGCAAGTCTAACATTTTGGTCATCTAGAGCAAGGGAAAAGAAGAGTCCAGAATGAGGAGGTAGTGGGGTGTGCCCTGGCTGTTCTGACTATCCCTTTACTTTCCCTCAACCCCAATCTTTACCCTTGTCTCCCTGCACTCCTATGCTCCCCTGGTGCTGCTTCCCCCAGGCCCCCTCTCATTCCACATTCTTGTCATGATTTCTTCTTGATTTCAGATCATTTCTCCTAAGGCAGAGACTCTTCTCTGAGACCCACGAAAAGTACCCTTTGTAATACTTTTAGCGAAAAATAAAAAAAAAATAAAAAAAAAAAACCCACAAAAGGGAAATCAAAAAAAAAAAAATAAGATTTCCCAAAGGTCTGCCTCTCCTCCCCTCTCCAATGAGGTTAAGAAATAGAAATAGCTACCAGTCCCCAGAGACCTCCTTGAAGAGGCAGATGGTTCACCCTCCCATTCTCTCCATGAGGCTTAAAAGAAATTGACTACAATTTCCAAAGAACAGGGACCAGGGTCCAAGAGGAACTTAGCTATCCCAGAAACTTGAGGGTGCAATCTCCTAATCTCTCACACCATGGCAGGCACAGAACCAGGTAAGGGATTAGTCTGATGGCGAGAATGAAGAACAGGGCTGGGTCACCTGTGAGAAGATGAGTACTCTGTGTCCTTGCTCCTTTAGCTTCCGCAGCATCTTCTGCAGCAGCATGAGCTTCCCAGACGACTTAATAAGTGCCCCACCTTCATAAGCCCCACTGGGGAGTTTTGGGGACTCCTGTAAAAGAGGGAGAAAGGAGGAGAGGATAAGGAAACATACCCCTATATTCTAACTGTGCCTAGGAAAGCTAGAAGCCCAAATCCAGCCTCCACACCTTTTAAATTCCTACTCCTCTCAGAAATCCAGTCCCAGCTTCAGCCCTGTGCTCAACACCTCCCACTGTTAGAAAGCCAGGCATGTACTCATCAGTTCCCAGCTCTTGTATCTACCATAGCAGCCACAGGAAAGAGGTATGGATGGTTGCAGCACTTCTTAAGATCCATCATGATGTTAAGCAGTGACACTTGGTTCCCACCGCCTCGTGAATTCAAGGCCTCAAAATTTCGAGTCAGGATATACTTGTAGTATTTCCTGAAGACCGGGGTTGAGGGTAGAGAAGAGACACAATAAAATAAATGATTATGATGTTGCACTTGATCACCAACTCTTGGAAAGCTGCCGACAAATGCCCAACCCCTGGTCCAGGTAACCCGCCTTGCAGCTCACTTCTGCATGGGACTCAGCTCCACTCGAACGATGAGCTCTGTCTTGGCTGGCATGTTCTTAAAGACATCAGCCTTGAGCCTCCGAAGCATATGTGGCCC